GAGATGGGCTGCATATAAATTTAAATAAATAAATGATCTTCTACCGAAATACTTTTTTTAGCTATTCTGCATTTAAAAGTTTGTAAATTTCTTTTACCCTAGCAGTGATGGTTCCATGTTTTTCTCCTCTGTTGTTGATCATACGTATATCCTTGGCCTGGAACATTTCTTTCATCTGACTAGGAGTTGCAGTGCTGGCAAAGTCAACATCTTGTGGTTTTATTCCACTGAGTAAATCCCTTACAGCACCTCCTGCTATTCTTAATTCATAATTTTCTTTATGAAATAATTCTGTGAGTGGAAATGGAGAAAAAAAAATTATTGTAAAGAGAAAAAAAAATCCTGCAGAAGACAACATGATGGACAGTCCCACTAAATCTTCTAATAAACATGGTACATGAAGGAAGCTAAGTAAGAACAATTATGGCATGACTTTTCTTGATTTATGTGGGTTTCCACAGACTAGATTTGTCCAAGATAAATAAAGCTCTAAACCTAAAGAAATTAACTTGAATTTTAGATTCATAACTTACAATTTAAATTTGTAAATTTAATACAGAGGGACCTTATGCACTAAACTATAAAATATATTATTTATCTACTATTTGGCTGTCTTTTGGAGGGTTTTTTTTGGCCTGTGCACGTGCGCCTGCAGGCACAAGCACTCATATGGATGGATCCCATCCTGATTAAGACCTTTGCTCATGGACGGAGAAAATTTAAATAATATTTCACCTTTTTTAAAAAAAAACCTTATTTCTATCCTGGAACTTCAGCAAAAAAGAAACCATTGAAGATTTTGTTTCCTTCCTTTCAAACAAAATCATCATGCACAGGGAACACATGAACAATAGTCTCCATCAGGATTAAGACCAATTACTGCAGGATTGGTCAGTATTTACACTTGTCTCATTAAAGCATAAAAGGGCAGTTGCCCATTTACGTTAGTCCTGCCATATTTCTTATAGATACAGATACAAAAAACCTGTTTGGTACATCTGACATTATCAAGGCAGGTACATCCAAACACAGTGTTTCTCAACCTTGGGAACTTTAAGGTGTGTGGACTTCAAATCCCAGAAATGCCCAGGGGGAATTCTGGGAATTGAAGTCCACACACCTTGAAGTTCCAAGGTTGAGAAACACTGTCCTAACAGATCACAAAGGCAGCCAAATAATCGAAACCATATTTTAAAACAAAACACTTCATGTAAGTTACCTGTCTGGATTATACATTTTAAAATATATCTCCAAATTTACCTCACCTAAAGTCATGACTTCAGTTTCACAGAAATCAAATAAATGTATTTCGATATGACACCTCCAAGAAGCCCATATCCTTTGAATGTCACACTGCATTGGAAACAGCAACCAAACCTTTGATACACCCATTTCTCAGATATGATGAATGGAAAGAATCAAATTTGTCGTTCTGAATAAAAAAGTACTTTGCAATTGAATGTCAGTCAGCAGGATTGGGTTGAAAAGTCTCAATCTGTTTTTCACTGATAGTTTGAGAGAGAAATCTGTATGTCTTGGTGGCTCATGGATACGTACTTTTTGGTAAGCTCTATTTGCATGAGCAACCCATTCAGATACTGTAGACGCTAAAGAACTCTGGCTCTTGTATTAGTTATAATCCCCAATGCAAGAGAGAGTAAATGACAACAGTTTATGTTGGTACTCTGATGCACACCAGAACCAGGTATTTTATTGCTGAAGTTTCTACTAGAAGAAAACAATTACCACTATTCCTAGTGAAGCAGAAACACCAACAGTATTAAATTACCAGTTCTTGTTCATTGTTGTTTTTACAATTATCAGGAATTCTAGTCCTAAACAGGGCTGAGAAATATTGCAGAACTACTCCACCTGGCAGTAATAAGCTGACCTAATAATGGTAAGGGATACTCGGAGTTGTAGTTCAGCAGCAGCTGGAGGGCCACGGGCTGTCCATTGCAGCTCCCAAGCCACCCCAGAAAACGAGGCACCTGTACCTGCAAGGCTCCTCAGTCCTGGCGTGAAAAGGGACTGAAATTCGGAAGAATCTATCTTCATGGTTCTTAAGTTCCGACGAAAGATTGCAAGCCCTACTCTGTTGCGGGGAGCAAGGATTTCGCCTGCCTTACAGCTCAGAAGAACGAAGTGGTTCCACATCTTAAAAGAAACAACGAAACGAAACCACGAGTTAACGAACAGCCAAGGAAGGCATGGCGCGGCCGGGAGGCCCAGCGGATCAATTACACGGGTTGCGGGTGGAAGAACGGTCTTTAGACAGCTAGGACGGCCTTCGCAAAGCATCGGCCGCTGCAAAGGTTGAGCGGGCAGCCGAAAAAGCTCACGCCACGCTCGGTTCCGGGGCCTGCAGGGAGCGCCCGCACCGGCCGGGCGTTCAGCCGGTTCCCTCTTCCTTCGCAGGCCTGCTGGTCAACGTGCGCCTCAGTCACTCACCCACCCACGAACTTGAGAATCCCCAGGCTCAGCGGGCAGACGGAGCAGCCACGGAGTGCCAACCGCTGCGCCCAACGAGGGGGAAGAAGGGCGCGGATCCCCAAGGCGAGCGCAGAGCGAGCGGGAGGACGGCGCAACAACAGAGTAACTCCTCCCTCGCGTCCTTCGCAGTCGAGGGCGGTGCTTTTATCCTTCCGGAGACCGGCCGCGACCTCGTTGCTTTGCCCGGCGGCGGTGCGCGCGCTCTTTCGGCCGCCTCGCGGAGCGGCTCCGGCTACTGCTGCGCGCGGGGGGGGGGCTGTTGT